CGGGCTCCCATCAATCAGCGTCGCCGCTGCCAGTCCTCGGGCGGCTCCCCGCGCCAGCCGGCATTGCAGCTCCCGGCCGGGGGCGCCGGTGCCGGCCTCGCCGCTCTCTGGTCTGCCGGGCGAGGTAAACAAAGTGCAATATCCTTCCGCGGTCCGCGGCCCCGGGCGCCGCCAAGCGCCTGGACCCGGCTATGCGCCCTGCAGTGGCCCCGGGGCTAGAATCCGTACCCCATGTGCAGCTCCTGCCCCGCCAAGTCCCCTTCGGCATCTTCTGAACTCAGGCCATCTCTGCTGAGAGGCTGTACTGCGTGGGGAGAGCTTTCAGATTTGGAGGACTGTCTGCAGCAGCACTGCTGCCTGGAGTCTGTAAGAATTAGTTTCATTCTCTCCAACTTCCTTCCATTAAAAAAATAAATAAATAAACATCGATTGCTTGCTTTTAGCAGGTGTCAGGACCTCTCCCATGTCATCCACACCCTTTACCCAACTTGGGCTTCAAATGTTTTCAAAAAAGAACTGCTGAAGGCACCTCTTCCTCCCAGGCCAGGACCCAGAGTGAACAGGCCTATGGACCCATGCCTCCAGAGAGCGCTGTTGACTCTGCCGGGGGTGCCGGTCTCTCACGTCCTTGCTGACCTCCTATCACATGGACCACGAACACATTGAGCACTGAGGATTCAGGTGCAGGCTGTAGTCTCACTCAGGAAGTTCTTTTCACTTCCTCGGAAGGTTCCAGACCACTGGCTTGGGCTGGAACGAGGAAAGTGACCTGGACTCAGACAGAGGCGGGGACCTTCAGGCCTCATGTATCCTGGCAAACGGGAAGCAATCTAGTTTTGGACAAATTTAAAAAGGCAAGGTCAAGGGGAGTAAGAGAACTCTTGGAACCTTCTGAGTTCTTACATGCCTGTAGTTTTCCTAGTGGTGGTGATGGGGGTGGTGTCATATACTTTGTTGCCCACAATAGGACACTTCTGAGTAAAAAAGAGCTATTTATAATAATGTCCACCCAAGATACCGAAATCATGCTAGTAATCAGGACTTTCCCGGAAGGTGGCAGAAGTGGAGAGAGGATACTGAACACAGCTGCCACTAGCCACATAAAGTATGAACCAAGTGAAAGACGTGGCCCTCTTCCTCCTGGCTCATCTCACATCCTGGTCCCCACAAACTTGCCTAGAACTCAAGCAATGACTAATCCTAGAAAATACATCTATTTACCTAGGTGATCAGAATGCCACCACCTGAACAGGGTGGCTTGATCTAGCCTGATCCCAGAAGGACACTCAGCCTGTGTCAGGAAAGACCAGGGTCAATCTCTGCTGATGGTCTGAAAGGAAGATGCCAGGACCACTCTGCCCAGTGACGGCCAACAGAGTTTCATAATAATAATGAATTTAGGAGAACAGTGGCCCAGTCCTGCCGGGACCTCTGATTTCAAATACATATCAAGTCAAAACATAAACATATACATGAAAATATATTTATTTTCCCTCCTCAGGTTCTTGTTTCTTCATAGGTAAAATAAACAGTGTAGCATTCACCTCTGCCCGCCTCACATGGCTCTTCAGGATAATATTTTCAATTCCAGGAAATCTGTGAAGGTGTACTAGAAGCCAGGCCATGTGCTGGGTGTTGAGGAGTCAAGTATGAGTAAGATTGGGTCTTTGCCATCCAACGCTGTAATGTCTGCCCCAGAGAAGACTAAAGAGTAACCTTGAGTTCATCCAGAGCAAATATTTATTGAAACCTACTATGTGCCAGACACTGGAAGTGGAGATACAATCATTTTACTAATATATTTTCTGTCTTTGTGACCTGACATAGTCCTAGGAGTCATAAATAAAATGAATAAGAGATTGTTGTTGGCATTTCAGGCAGAGAGAAGGACTGTGGAAGCATGGAGGAGTGGGATGTTCTGAAATTTCTAGTAACTCACCATGCTCCAGTATTGACAGTATGGGAGCAGTGGCCTAGGCATTTGGAACAGATTGGGGAGGGCATGATAGATCCAGCTAGAGATTGTGGTCTTTGTAGCACAGGAAATGTAGAGTCAAGACTGACATCTAGCTGGGAAGTGAGGTGGCTGTGTTGGGGATTTAAAGAGCATAACAGAGGTCATTCGAAATACCACTGGACTACCAAGGAAAGGAAGAACCTCACAGCATGGGAAAAAAAGAAAGAAAGAAAGAAAAAAACACAAGGAAAGTATGGGCTTACAATGATGTGCAACTGAAACCATGTGATTGATTGTTAGTGAACTTATTCTGATGAAACTATACAGTGGCTATCTTTTGCAGGTTCATAAAGGTCTAATTCATGGGTAAGTGCTTTGTTTATTGATCAAAATCAGGATGCTATTTAGTGCAGGATAAACTAGAAAATTTATACCAAGCACCATAAATATTTTTATGCCTATTGATACAAATTCTTCCCAACTTGAGGGAAAAAAAAAAAAAACCAGAGAAACAAAACAGAATATGTGGTAGGCAGATCTAGATGGGAACTTTCATTCATTAACTTGACCTTGCCTTGATTCAGAATATCTTAATATATAAAGTGAAATTATAATCTGAATTTTGCCTGACATGTGAAAATTATGAAATAGATGCAAAAATAAAGCAACTAGCTCAATGTCTTAACAGAAACTCAGTAACTGGTCATTGGAATACATCTGCAGAAAGCAACCATCAGGAAGTAAATAATAATAGATAAAGTATTTACAGTACCGAAATCAGGAAGCTATTTAGTGCAGGATAAACTAGAAAATTTATACCCAGTGCTGTAAATATTTTCATGCCTATTAATAAAATGTATGGGAATTAGTAAACATATGACTAAAAGAATGGCTAAATAAGATATGTAACTGTGATAAAATATTATGTGGCAATTAATATAAGGATTATATATGACAACAAGATACATTTTGATGACTTACTAGTAGGACAGTCAAATTTGGTTGTCTCAGGTCAGTAGATTACTTTCAGGCTTTCTAGAATATTCTCTAACCCGAAATGTATTTTACTGCTCCTACATTCACTTCATTGGTTGTTAGTAAACATACAATGGATACCTGCTAAATATAAAGCACTAAACGAAGTGTTATGTCTGTCAACCAAGTAAATGTCTTTTTAGGAGGGTCTCATGGACTTGCTATATCACTTTATTTATTTATTTATTTGGAGAGGTTTTTGCAATAGGGCACGTTCGCTCGCCAGAAAGACAGAGAGAGACAGAGAGATAGAAAATGAGAAATTACCCCCCAGGGGGGAATGACCACACCGCAATCCCTTCTCCTCCATTCTCCTCTCGGGATCTTGGGCACGCACACACATGTGCCACTGGGTCCGGGACTCGAACTATTCGGCTACATGGGAGTTCAGCGACATAGCCATTACGCTAACTGCTGGTCCCAATTTGCTATATCACTTTAAGGCTGATATCTACAACAAGTTATGATATTCATCTGTCATAAGTCCTACAGAAAGTCATGCCTATGCTCAAAAATCTGTGATAAACTTTCATGATGAATTATAGAGTGCCATCTTATGCTAATGTACAGACTGTGGCCTGCTCAATGCCAGAACACTCCATTCCCAGTAAGAATGGCACTTCTGGAGTTGTGCAGAAATGTAGTTATCTTAG